TATACTTCAAAATACCTATAGGAAGATAATAAAGGGGGATTTTGCTTACTGACGAGAATGTCTTTTGGATCGCAATCCTGTGGTGCTATCTTGTAGCCATCTGATGGCCCAAATACAATGGCCAAAAACAAAAGGTTTGTATAAATGGTTGCCACTGTAACAACCCCCTTGTCATACTCTCTGGATGAATAAAGATGTCGGATGTATAACAACTGCATGTATGTACGATTCTTGCAATATACAGAAAGAGTTACTGTATTGTACTTTTTGTTTATAAAACAAACTTTAATTATGAAAAAACAAGCTACATAATTTAAGCAAAAAAGTAAACATTCTGACTGCAAAAAAAATATTAAATAAAAAAAATACTTTATACCTCTCTTTATAACAAAGGAGAAAACACCAAAACACTTTGCCACATATTGACAACATATGGGAAGAGATTCAAGTTGGCAGAGAAAAGTGAAGGACAAAAAACATGTCAAAGAATATTCCCATGTATCACAAAATGAAACTAATGAGAATTATATTTTAATTGGGTTCAAGCTAGGCAACTGAGATCAAATACAATGCGTTTATAAAGAACTAAGGTTAAATGTGCTTTAATATTTCTAGTAGCAGGGAAAAAAAAATGTTTAATCACATCGAAGCAAGGGTCATGATTAACCCCTTAAGGACTGAGCCAAATGTACATGTTGTGATCAAAACAAAACAAGCAAAACCTGGAATTTGACTATATATCTTGTAACGGATCGCCTGGCACCCTGACTGGGTACCTCCGTTAAAGGATGCTCCTAGCGCTTCCTGAGGACTCCAAGCACTGCAGCAGACACCACAACCACCGAACCGGAGAAGCATATGAATCCTCTCAAGCATTTGAATGCTGTAGACAGTTGAATAGGAACCATACGAATAGGTTTACTCTCCTAGCAGTCAAACTGGAACAGCATACAATAAATCCTCCCCCAATAATGAGACGACACTTCACTTTGAGGGTTAAAGGACCACTATAGTGCCCTGAGGTTGCCCCCACCCTCAGGGACCCCCTCCCGCCCGGCTCTGGAAGGGGGAAAGGGGTTAAAACTTACCTTTTTCCAGCGCTGGGTGGGGAGCTCTCTGCCTCCGATCCTCCTCCTGGGCTGAATGCGCACAGCGGCGGCTCGGCGCGCTTCCCGAAAGCAAAAAGCATTTCAATGGCGCTGCTGGCTCACTGAAAATCACAGTGAGTAGCGCCTTCTAGTGGCTGTCAATGAGACAGCCACTAGAGGATAGGGGAAGGCTTAACCCATTGATAAACATAGCAGTTTCTCTGAAACTGCTATGTTTATAAAAAAAATGGGTTAACCCTAGAGGGACCTGGCACCCAGACCACTTCATTAAGCTGAAGTGGTCTGGGTGCCTAGAGTGGTCCTTTAAGCAGGAACTGCCTGTACTGTCACATACAGTCTCTTTTATTCCCAATCCACAAACATAGTACAGCCCGCAGGGCGTTACAAAACAGCCAATCAATCCATACAATACACCCAGACACTCCCACACAAAATCCTCCCCTCTGGCTGTGATATGATTACTGAACACAATGGGTAATCTAATTATCACAGCCAGAGAAATACAGTTTCATAAAACACATCACAGGGACCCCAAAACATGCAATAACCCCATAAAGTATATCATTGGAACTGGGGGATCTGGGTGAACCACATATCCAAAATTCACCCAGATCCGTTCAGTACTTTGGAAAATACAGTTTAATGCAGATTCTGCAGAACATATACAGGCTAAATAAAAAACAATCACTGTTTAATGTGTCCCCTGCTGTATAGTCCAAAACCACCGCACGATGTCTCTGTGCAACAAATACTTGCACCGTGTTGAAAAGTCCACACAGTGTCTGTGAGTTAAAATGGCCGCCATCCATTGTTCTCACCATGTGCTTCTGATACAGGAAATGGTGGCCACCCAGTAACTCCACAGTATGTCCCCAGATGGTTCTTAAAAGGGCCAGCAGCAGCACAACATAAATCCATTATGCCCAAATCATGTCTTTAAAGGGCAATACATCCTAGGGGCCATAGTCACATGGCAGGAGGCTGGCAACCAGGCTTCTCCAGTGCATAGTGGCGAGGTTGGTTCCGCCACACATCTGTTCAACCATAATTTACCTCTTTCATATTAAGTGAACCCACACATATATAATTTTATTCAGGGGAAACAGGGCTTTCATTTAACATAAAATATTTAGCTATGAAACAATTTAATATGAAAAAAATATTTTGAAAAATAGGAGAAAATAAGACATTGTTATTTTTATAGTTCTACCTGAAATTTTAACTATGAATGCGATAATACTGTTTGCTTTTTATGCAATAAAATACACATTTGTATTCAGCAATGTCTCATGTGTAAAACAGTACCCCCTATGTACAGGTTTTATGGTGTTTTTGAAAACGTAACCAATCTGAGGAATTACAATGTGAAAACACTGAAACGCAAGCCTTATATTTGACTCTGTAACTTTTTAAAACACCATAAAACCTGTACATGGGGAGTACGGTTATACTCTGGAGACTTCGCTGAACACAAATATTAGTGTTTCAAAACAGTAAAACGTATCACAACAATCATATAGTCAGTGTAAGTGCCATTTGTGTGAAAAAAATGCAAAAAATATCACTTTCACTGACGATATCAAAGTTGTAATACATTTTACTGTTTGGAAACACTAATATTTGAGTTCAGCGAGGTCTCCCGACCGAGTAAAACAGTACCCCCCGTGTACAGGTTTCATGGTGTCTTGGAAAGTTACAGGGTTAAATATAGTGCTAGCAAATTAAATTCCCTGGACTTTCTGCCTGGGTTGTCAGACAGGTCCCGCGAATTGTAATTAATAAAATGACCTAATTATGTAAAAATATTACATATACATAATATATATATACACACATTTTTTAAATTTTTATATATACATATATTCATGTATATAGATATATTTCGTTCTACATGTATTTTGATATCTATATAATATCAAAATACAGCGAGAACAAAATTACACGTTATCTTTTTCTTTAATATATATATCCAATCAATATCATTCTACGTGTATTTTGATATTAATATATAATTATATTAATATTAAAATACACGTTGCGTATGTACATATACACATACACTTCGATTATATATATATATATATATATATATATATATATATATATATATATATATATATATATATATATATATATATATAATCTAAGTATATATTATTGAATTCAAAACTGTGTATTAACTTTATTTTCATTTTTACAGGGGGACTACCTGTCATTCCAGGCACTCCCCCTGCTGGCACTGCTATGGACGGCTCACATGGCCCAGGAGGGCCGGAACGGCAGATAAGTCCCCCCATCGCAATCGCCGGCAAGCGGGTAAGTACATAGGACGGCATAGCACGCCTGTCGACCTTAAGGAGTTAAAGGGACACTCATAGGCGTGCGCACGGGGTGTGCCGGGTGTGCCTGGGCACACCCTAATCCCCGTGGCACGCCTATGGTTTGAGTCCTGCAGGAACAGCGTTCCTGCACTTTTTTTGAGCAGGAACGCTGTTCCTGCAGGCACTCAGTGCCCCCTGTTTCACCTCTTGCCCCTGTCATGAGGAGGGCAAGAGGTGATGGATTCCCACGCCCCACTCAGCGCGCGGCGTGGGAGCTCTCTGCTGTCGGCTCTCTGCTCCCTCTCGCCGCGCGCTGATGCCGGGAGCCGGAATATGACGTCATATTCCGGCTCCCAGCTGCAGCAGACAGCCCGCGCGGCAAGAGGGAGCAGAGAGCCGACAGCAGAGAGCTCCCTCGCCGCGGCTCAGCTGGAGAAAGGCGCCTGCCCCCACTGGACCCCAGGGAAAAGTCCACCAGCACTCCAGGTAGGAGGCTGGGTGGACATTGTTTTTTAAAATTAAAATATAATAATTTGTGTGTGTGAGTATGTGTGTGTGTGTGTGAGTATGTGTGTGTGTGTGTGAGTATGTGTCTGTCAGTGTGTGTGTGTCTATAAGTATGTGTGTGTGTCTGTGAGTATGTGTGTGTGTCTGTCAGTGTGTGTGTGTGTGTCTATAAGTATGTGTGTGTCTATAAGTATGTGTGTGTCTATAAGTATGTGTGTGTGTGTGTCTGTGAGTATGTGTGTCTGTGAGTATGTGAGTGTGTGAGTATGTGAGTGTGTGTCTGTGAGTGTGTGTGTGTGTCTGTGAGTATGTATGTGTGTGTGTCAGTGTGTGTGAGTGTGTGTCTGTGAGTGTATGTGTGTGTCTGTGAGTATGTATGTGTGTGTGTGTCAGTGTGTGTGTACATATATATATATATATATATATACATACATACATACATACACATATATATATATATATATATATATATATATATATATATATATATATATATATATATATATACACATATATACATATACACATATATACATATATATATATACACACACACACACACACGCAGAGCCGGCGCTATCTGAGTGCCGGCTCTGCTCTAAGCCTTCATGGGCCGGCGGGGAGACCAAAGATCTACCTCACCGGCCCACAGCAGCTTGGAGGGAGGCAGTAGAGGACCCAGGGAGCTCTAGACAGAAGCTCCGCCAGGTTCCTCTCGCGATATCTGGGCAACGCTCAGATCTCGCGAGAGTTAACTCTAGCCCCGCAGGCTAGAGTTCACTCTCCACTGGACCACCAGGGATGGCACATGGCAGCAAGGATTTACTAATCTGCCAAATCCCTCCAAACATACAGCACACACACATACAGCACCTACACACATACAGCTCACACACACACAGTACACTAACCGCACCCTCCCAAACACACACAGCACCTTTAAAAAAAACACAACACCCTCACACACAGCACACTAACAGCACCCTCACAAACAGCACCCTCACAGGACAAACATACACACACAAACAGCACAGTCACAAACACGCACCCTCACAGCACACTAACAGCACACACAGCAGTGTGTGTGTGTATATATATATATATATATATATATATATATATATATATATATATATATATATATATATATACATACATACATACATACACACACACGCGCGTGGCGTGTGTTTGTGCTTTAGGGTGCACACCCTAATGCAATAGGCTGCGCACGCCTATGGGGACACTATAGTCAACAAAATAACTAGCTTAATGAAGCATCATGGCATACCATTTGTAAAAGTAGACAACCCACGGTATTCAAAATGGGGTATGTCCAGTCTTTTGTAGTAAACACTTAGCCACAAAAGCTTGCCAAAGTTAGCGTTCATATTTGTTTTTTACATTATATTTCATTATTTTTAATTATTTTTTTTTTTTTTTACACAAAAACTGCACTTTTACTAGTGATTTCATCGTCGTCATAGGTTTCATTGTTTTAAACACTCATATTTGTGTTGAGCGAAGTATCCCAAGTATAACAATACCCCCCATGTACGGGTTTTATGGTGTTTTGGAAAGTTACAGGGTCAATATAGGGCTTTCCCAATTCAGTTTGCCAGATTGGTTTGCTGGGTCTGTGTTGCCTTTTGAGACCATACGGTAGCCCAGGAATGTGATATAACCCCATCATGGCATACCAGTTTCAAATGTAGACAAATGTATTAAAAATAGGGTATTTCCAATCTTTTGTAGTAGCCTCTTAATCACAAACGCTGGCCAAAGCTAGCATTTTCTTTTTCATATTTTTTTTATTTATATAATATATATTTAAACACACACATATACATATATACATATACACATATATATATATACACATATATACATATATATCTACCTATCTATCACACACTTATTTCCTAGATATGTATAATATATTATAAGTAAAGCATTTTATATTATACATATATAATGCATTTATGTAAAGGTCATTATAAGTGTATTTTGAGATATGTGTGTATATATCTCAAAGTAAACTTATAATGAAATCAAATATATGCATTATTTATGTATAATATATTTACTAATGGACGTACCAGGTACATCCATGGTCTTTAACGTCCGGTTTTTGACGGACGGACCTGGTACGTCCATGGTCGGGAAGGGGTTAAAATGGAATGGGGCGGGGCGTGGCTGGGCTGCCGATGGAGTAGGACGCAGGCAGTGAGAGCTCCCGGGCCCCAACCCTGCCATAGCCCGTTTTAAAAGCGTTACAACTCCCGTCCGAATGGGTAAACCAAGGAAGGGGACTGCCCCGGGCCCGCAACTTACCGCCATGTCGCAGCAACCGGGACCGATGGACGAGTACCTGTCCACCCCACAATGCATAGCCGGCACACGAGGCCCAGACAAAATGGCGCCCGGATCGCCGGGAACACAGAGCAGATCGAGCTCCACGCAGGACTCCCCGCGGAGAGACGCCCTCACTCAGATGTCAGCTGAACTCGCTGCAATCTCGGCAAACATGTTTTCCAGGCAAGACAAGAAGGAGCTGGTGGCAGAACTACGCGCAGCTATCCGGGAGGAGGTGGCTGCGGTCCGGCGCGACCTCTCCGCCCTAGAACACCGGGTGGGAGACCTAGAGGTCCAACAGCTGCAGTCAGAACAATCCCAACGGGCCACAGACCTGGCTACCACGAGGCAGGGCAACCTCCTCCTGGAGCTCAGACGCCAGGTGGAGGACCTTGAGAACCGCGGACGGCGCAATAATATCCGCGTCAGAGGCCTGCCAGAGTCGGAAGGAGAGACCCCAAGAGAGGTCCTGGAGGGCCTGTTCACACAACTACTGGGGGAAGAAGCTCCACCGGATTTCGGATTAGAGCGTGCACACCGGGCGCTTCGACCACCAAGGAGGGATGGCCTCCCCAGGGACTTGGTGTGCTGTTTTCAATCATTCCAACTGAAAGAAAGTATCATGAGAGCGGCCAGGGCACTGCGCACCATCACCTACATGGACTCGCAAGTATCCCTATACCAGGACCTGTCTCCCCTCACCCTCGATGCCAGGCGAGCGCTGAAGCCCATCACAGGCCTCCTACAGCAGAAGCGGATCCCTTACAAATGGGGATTCCCGTTCAGTCTGCAGGCAAGAATTGCGAATCGCTGGCTGGCAATCCGCTGGCCTAATGATGTCCCTAGATTTCTACGAGCAGCGGGCCTCCCTGAGACCCCCGTCCCTAACTGGATCCTTGATCACCCGCCGGCCAGGCCCACGGGCCCTACAGTTCCAGCGGATCACCTGTCGGATGGTGCCCTGCGGAGCTCCTCGACGCACCGGAGCGGGCCCAACACCGCGGAAGAGTAGGAAGTCTGTAAGCACCCGAGAGCGCGCCCCTGGAGGGGTTCTTGCGCGGACCGGGGGCCCCGAGACCCCCACGTCCTACCCCGCGGGTAAGGTGCACACCTGCCCGTAGATACACGTGGATTAACTGAGGACTTGAAACTGAGCATCTGGGGTATGTACCGTTCCTCCCCCCGGGCCTGGGACTCCCCTATGTGTACTATAAGATCTGCACCCCCCGGGAACTCAGCACTTGGGTGGGAGACGGGAAAGGGGGGGCAGCAAAGTGGAAGCATAGAAGGGAACTGGCCACCACCACTTCACACGGCCTCAGTTGGGGCAGAGCGGGTTCAGGTAGAGCACCCAACCTACTGGAGCTATTAACAGCATGTCAGGACCTGGTGTGGGGGCGGGGCCTGCGGGGAGGTGGAGCGGGTCTCCTAAGGGGTTACTCACTGGAGCTGGGGAGCCATGGCGGTACCCGGAGGGAGGAGGCTGGAGGCACACCCGTCACACCCCCCCGGGCCCGAGGGCCAAAAGGTCTACGCCCAGACCCCTGCAGGGCCGAGAGGGGTAGAGAGGGGGGACGACCGGGCACCTGGGGACGCACGAAGGAACTCGTGCATAGACCGAAACAGGGCACAGGAACCAATAAGCACTACTTACAAGTGGCACCACTAAAGTCAAAGAAGGGCCAGAAGGCTCGTGTGTCCTCGGAGAGGGGGGAGACGGATAATCTGGCAGGGGGGGAGGGGGTAGGACGGAGAATCTGGACGAGGGGGGGTTGAGGGGGCAGGACGGTCCATATGCTCTCCCTGGGGCACTAGGGGTAGAACACTGACGGGGGACAGCTGAGACTGGACGGAAACCGCACACACATCACAACTGGCGGGTTGGGAGCACCGGGAGACGGACTCGGACCAGACACACACACTAGGTTGTTCCGCGCCGCAGGCGACCTTGCTCACACCCCACGCAACTGACCCGTGGTGTACAAACTAGTCGGAGTTCGGTAGGACTACAGTCGAGTAGCTGCCGAGCAACTCTATCCGACCGAGGTTCATTGTTGCTCACAAACCGTTTTTTTATTTTTTATTTATTTATTTATTTGTATTTTTTTATTTATTTAATTTTTATTTTTTTTCTTCCTTCTCTTTCCCCCCCTCCCCTCTGCCACCTGCCCATTCCTCTCTCTCTCTGCGTCTCTCCCCCACCCTCCCCTTATCCCCCCGAGCCCACGTACAGTCAATTACACAATGCCTTCCCAGACAGGGCCGGCCGGGGGCTGTTCACCCCGAGGGGCCGGGGGGAGTCTCGCCCCCGCACAACTCAAAGTGTGGTCTAATAACGTGAGGGGCCTAAACACCCCGGAGAAGCGGTCTCAACTTTTGAGGCAGTTATGGGCGGAAAAGGTGTCTGTGGCGCTCTTGCAGGAGACGCACTTTAGGGGTCAGGATTCTCCGAAGATTGAGAATAGACGCTTTCCACAGGGGTACTACGCCAATCACCCAGAGGCTAAGAAAACGGGAGTGGCGATTCTGTTCTCCCGCATAGTCCCGTTCCATCTCATAGACACCATGACGGACCCGGGTGGGAGGTACATCTTTTTGAAGGGCACCATCGCACACCACACCTACACTTTCGCAAGCATTTATAGCCCTAACCGCGGACAGCATAAATTCTTTACCAAAACACTAGCCAAACTAGAAAAATTCAGGGCCGGCCTGCTGATATTGGCAGGGGATCTTAACGCTCCCCTGGACCCCCGGATGGACACCACCAGGGGGACCAGCACTGTCCCAGAGCACAGCCTACGCGCAATGCGACGAGCACTGACTGGCATGGGGCTGGTCGACTGTTGGAGGGTAGCACACCCGGACGATAGAGACTTCTCCTATTACTCGTCAGTATATAGGCAATATAGTAGGATAGACTACATCTTCATGCCCCAGGAGAGCCTGGCGCTTCTCCGAGACGCTTCCATAGGGATTATCAACCAGTCCGACCATGCCCCAAACACGGTGATAATGAACTCACCTTTATTTAAACCGACCGAACGCCAATGGAAGCTCAACGAAACCATGTTAACAGAGCTCGAGATACGCACCAAGGCACTACAGACGCTTACACAGTACTTTGACACTAATGACACACCCGACATGCCCCCTCTGATGCTATGGGAAGCCCACAAATGCGTCATTAGGGGTCACTTTATATCTATCAGCACGCAACGCAAGAAAGACAGGGCTCGCCGAATTCTAGACCTTACGGCACGGATTGCAGACCTAGAGAATACACATAAGCATAGCCTAGATGACGACACATACTTACGACTCACAGAGACACGTAGGGCACTCAAAGCACACTTATCCCAGGGATTACTACATACGTTGCGGAAATCAGCCAGGCACTTCTATGAGCACTCGAATAAGTGCGGCCGACTTCTGGCGCAGGTGCTCCGAGAGAAGCGTAGAGCCCAACATATTCACCAGATACGCACCGGACATGGACAGCACACCAGACTACCAGAGGGCATCATGGCAGCATTTAGGGCCTACTATAGGGACCTATACAACCAAGCTAGGCCAGCTCAGGGGACAGAAGCCCAAAACCATCGTAGGAAGGTCACAGACTACCTAACGCGACACGTGACTCGCAAACTCACTCCGGAGCTCGCTGAGGAAATTGATGCTCCCCTAACCTTAGAGGAACTAGCCGCAGCCATGAAACGCTCCAAAACCCACAGGGCCCCGGGGCCGGACGGCCTCCCCCTCACATATTTAAGAACTTTCCGAGACGCCCTACTACCCCGACTTCTAGCAGGCCTGAACTCCTTACAGGACGGGGGGCGGTTCCCCAAGGACTCCCTGGCGGCGATAGTAACGGTTATCCCCAAAGACGGGAAAGATCCATCAAACTGCTCGAGCTATAGACCAATTTCCTTGCTAAATGCGGATCTGAAGCTATTTACCAAAGCTCTCTCCCTGAGGGTGTCACGGATCCTGCCGGATCTCATTCACCCAGATCAGGTGGGCTTTATTCCGGGCAGAGAGGCCAGGGACGACACGATACGAGCCCTGAACATCATACATTGCGCACGAACCTCGGGAAGGGACACAGTCCTCCTCTCTACAGACGCCGAAAAGGCGTTCGACAGGGTGGACTGGGTCTATTTGGACGAGACCCTAAGACACATGGGGTTTGGACCAAAGGTACGAGCCTGGGTGTCGGCGTTATACTCCTATCCAACGGCACGGATCCGCATTAACGGAGCCCTAACGCAGACCTTCCCGATTGGCAATGGGACCCGGCAGGGTTGTCCCCTGTCCCCCCTCCTGTTTGCCCTCTCTCTTGAACCATTTCTGGAGGCGGTCAGACAGGACGGGGGCATAACGGGGGTGAAGGTGGGGTCTGAAGAGCACAGAGTGGCGGCCTATGCGGACGACATGCTCTTTTTCATGGAACAACCCAGGATATCCATGCCCAACCTCTTACAGGCGTTCCACACCTATCACCAAGTATCCAACCTAAAACTCAACGTTGAAAAGTCCGAAGCCATGCCGATAATGCAGGGAGAGGAGCGGGCCCGGCAGCTGGGCTCCCAGTTCGCCTTCTCCTGGTGCACAACCAAACTAAGGTACCTTGGTACCTGGCTGCCAGCGGACCTGACGCAGATATACAAGCTAAACTTTCTCCCTCTCCTCTCCGCAATCCAACAAGACCTTCAGCGGTGGACGCAGCGGTACGTATCCTGGTTTGGCCGTATTGGTGCGGTCAAAATGAACATACTCCCCAGGCTGTTATATCTCTTTGCGGCACTACCCACCAGGATCCCCCAGACGTTCTTCAACTCGGTGACAACAGCTATCCGTAGGTTTGTGTGGAACAACAGGCAGCCGCGCATCCGTAGGTCGATCCTGGAGAGACCGAAGGCGGCCGGGGGGACGGGGCTACCGTCAGTGATCTCATACTATAGGGCCACACACCTCCATAGGGTAGTAGACTGGCATGCGCGGCCAAGTACCAAACGATGGGTATCAATGGAACTGCAACAGACTCGGGGCACTGTCCCGTCGCAGCTCTGGCTGGGTGGGTATACCTACACAGACCTGCACACAAAAAACCCGGTGATAGACGCAACTCTCAAGGTGTGGTGCGGACTAAGATATGCCTACCAACTCACCACCTCCCCAAACCCGCTTACGCCTATTACTCACAACCCGAGGGTTGCAGGTGGCCTTCACCCGGTAGCTTTACGCAATTTCCAGGGAACAGATTGGCTCTATGTACGCCAGTGGAGTCCGGGGGGAACGCTGCAATCGCTGGGGGACTTATTGCCAGACGGGCAACCTACTGCTCTCGACAAATTCCACTATCACCAGGTTAGGTCCTACTATACCAAAATCCAGGGGAGAACTCAACTCCACCGTACACTTACGGAATTTGAACGCCTGTGCACAGACAGACGACATTTAACCCATGGGGTGTCACACTTATATACCCTGCTCCAGCAGTCAGGGGATAGTTGCCCACTAGGCTTCACGAGCAGATGGGAGGAGGAGACGGGTGCACAGCTGACGGACCAAGAATGGGACAAAATATTCCTCCTCACACATAAATGCTCAATTAGCTCGAAATTCCAGGAAACCAGCTACAAACTGTTAACACGATGGTACAGAACACCAGACACACTGAGGCACATACAGGGGACGGACACAGGCGATTGTTGGAGATGCGGATTAGAAAGGGGCACCAACCTACACATCTGGTGGTCATGCCCTAGTATCAAACCATACTGGCAAATGATCAAGGCAAAGATCAAGGAGATCACAGGGGACGACATCCCCCTACAGCCGCTGCCAATGCTTCTACACCATACACCCACCCCAACGCAGGCATACAAAAAGTCACTGACAATACACCTATTGAATGCAGCAAAGGCCCTCATTCCCCTGCACTGGAAAGGTCCATCAGTTCCCACACTTAGACAATGGATAGACAAGGTGGAGACCATCTACGACATGGAGATCCTGACGGCCTCTATGCGAGAGCGCGCAGATAAGTGCGCCCTGACGTGGTATCCTTGGAGGCAGTATACCTCGAGAGACGGGGCATGAGTTGCGGGGCTGCGGAACCGACCTGAGGGGGGAGGTGTGTGGGGAGTGTGCTCTTTTCTTTTTTTTTTTTCTCTCTCTTCTCTTCTTCTTCTTTCTCTCTTTCCCTCCCTTTGTGTGTACTATCTCTCAACTTATACCCAGCACGGAGACCCTGAAGCAGACTGGCTTAGTCTGGAACATGCCCCGACGGACGCACTACCCCACAGTTCATGGACGACATACAGGACACGGACAGGCCATACTGACACAGCCGAAAAGGGGGGTCACCCTCCTAGACATAACGGCTTGGGTGGAGGCGACAGGTATAAGGCTGACCTCACAATCCTAGTGAGTAATTAGTTTGACTCCCCTTCTCTGAGGGGGAAGATTTAGAGCGCAACACGCCGAAACATGACTGACCACCTACAAGAGTTGACACTTAAACATTCTACATGCACCTCGGGGTGCACATGGGGACGCAGGGTTAAACAAAGCACAGCAATCACTTGCCAGGTTGACCGAAGGTTGACTGACCTCCATATTACCCAAGCCGCAGGCATGGATTCGTATGTAGACAACCTCCAGATTTCGATTGTAGAAAATATGAGCATTGTTCTGTTACTTGTTTATATATGTCTTGTACCATTTACCGACAGACCCTAAGCCGCGGGCAGGGGTTCGTATGTAGACAA